GGAAATGACAGATTCTTTCTGTGATGCAAAACATTAAAGGCTGTCATCACAAGTCTCTCATGTGCTGCCTCAACACTGGGGCTCTCTCTTACAGTCGCCTTTATCCTAATCCTCTCTTAAATAGTGCTGCGGCTAGCCACCATTCAAACCACTGCCAAGTCTGAAGGTCGCATGCCTTTGATCTCTCAGTCTAGTCCAGTGCTTTATTATCTTTTAACTTTGTTTTCAACTCCAGTTAGGGCCTGAGCCAGAGGAAGAGTGGGAGCTGTCAGTGATACTCAGCGCAGATATAATGCTATTTAAATGCTAATGTGTTAAAAGGAGCAAGACGACCTTTACTCACACTCTGCACGCGGGCGGAGCAGCAGCACAAAACAGAAGCCCTTAATAAATGAGCCTCTTCCTCTGACTCTGTTTCCCTTCCCTGCACACCTTCCGTGTCACATATACGGTGTGTTTATCAAAGTCCAGCCCAGGGGGCTCTGACAACATTATAGAACAGCGTATTGGTTCAGGTGTTAAGTCAGACATGATTTGATGATTGCAAAATATTAAGTCAAATGTGATTGGTTTATTTCTTGATAAATGTCTGTTTATCAAGGCAGGGCTTCTTGTCATTGCAGTGAAAAAGTTTGTGAGTGCGGTGAATTGGTTTAGCCTTTAGCGCAAAGAAGACAATGTCAGGGATCCCTGCCTTTTCCTTTCATTAAAAAAAAATCTGATTTTCTTCCTTTTTACCTGCGTAATCATTTCTCTCATTCCTCCATCGACATTTAAAAACACAACAGCCCGACATTTAAAGAAATGTCGCCTCCCTACTGCATGCCGCGTTGAAATTTCATCGTCATCCAGTTTCCTAATTCACCATCCATCCTTTGCAGTCCATCTAAGTAGTTGGCACCCTTGCCAGGAAGCCGATAATGTGATGGCAGGTGCTTGTATCAGTGTAAAAACAACAAGCCCTCTGCCTGTCCACAGATGTCACAGATACTTGTCTCCCTGTTTGCAGAGCAGTTGCCAGAAGGATCCGTGCTCACTGAGAGAGCTGCTTTCCCTTCAGTCTGTAAATATGTAAATATTAGATAACCTTTGAAATACTTTGTAGGGCTTACTTTTTGAACCGCACATCTACTTTTTTTTTTTTTTCTTTCCTTCAGCTAAAGTACAATTCTGTATCAGCAGAGGAAGAGGTGAAAAGGAGAAAGAGAGATGGAGGGCGGATGAGTCTGTCATCTGTCATATAATCCCAGGAAATGCCACAACTCTGCCGGTAGATAATTTATTCAGTGCAGCTCCCTGAGGTACCTCAAGGAATAGTCAGCCGTCAAAGAAAGGCCTTGGAGTAAGATGGTGACATAACTTCAGACAGAAACGTAGCATCGCTCATCAATCAATAATGCACCATCATCTTTTTGCTGCAATTACAAGCGAGCGGTGAACTTGACTGACTTCGGCAAAGCAAGTTCACCTGACTTGGCCTGTTGAATTTCACTCTGTAGTAAAATTTTTGATGGGCATTCTCAGCGCGGTTTATGTGCAGCCTCACACAACAAACAGTTCCTCCTGAGGGAAAAATGTCTTATCTTTTCCCCCTCATGCATGCTTAGAGTAGCTTGGATTAATTTTACATCAGGCTGCCAAGTAGACATCCTCATGTAAGACTGGTAAACAACGAGAATTTGTTTTCATCTCGACAGATGGAGGACGACAGCAACAGAAGAGCACGGCTGCACCTCAGGGGTTGAGATCTTAGACCTCATTAAAAATAAGTTTGAAAGGAATAAATTTTGATCCAATTTGAGAGATGAAAAGGAAGCATCCACCCTTAGTCACAATTCACTAACAGCATAGTAAGTCATTCTCATGATGTTGGATGTTTTCTTGTGTTAGTGTGTGCGTATACATATGAGACTTTCCCAGAGCTCTTGACAAAATAGGAAAATCCTCAACACACCCAATGATAAATATCTTACCGGTGCAGTGACAGGACCCAGGGGACTTTTACAGAGCACACACACTGTGTGGTTTCTAACTTGCACAGTGATGCTTACACTTTAGTATTTGAATGTAGGAAAATGTCTTGAGACAACAGAAATTTAGTTTTAAATTCATTACTGATGGAGTAGTGGGAGGAAGGAAAGTCAGACATGACAATACAAAGTGTGACAGAATATAAATCATCACTGATTTTTACATATCTTGTATATTGTGGTTGCTATCCCTTGAAAATATCTGTTTGTGGTTTTTGTAACAATGGAAATATTTAATTTAATGTTTAATTTTATATGATTTTTGCAGCAATGTGACTCACAGACTTCTGTCTAATTATTTCATTTATTAAGTTTCTTTGTTTTTGTTTTTTTTATTTAAGTTTAAGATATTACTACATATGTCATTATTCTGAGGGATGTAATCCATATCTCCAACTCCTGGTTGCTCTTTAGAGTTGCCTGACCGCCATGGTAGAGCTCTCTTCCTTTGTCCCAGGGCTGAAATCTTTACAATGAGAAATATAAAGAGCCTTGGGACTGACTTTTTTCATGGCACAACTCTTAAAGCAGAACATCCCCAAGAACTCCCCACTACTGCATATGTGGGGAAAAAAGTTGAATAAAGCTTTTGTGGCTGTATGCAGTCTGCTAAATCGCCTCAAGTCAATCTAGTTGAGTCACCATTGGTTGGGGCTGAAGATTACAAGTTTAAAAAATTAAAATATCTGGGGGTGTAAAAGAAATGAGCTTACCAGACCTGGCATAATACACCTGAATATCTGACCGCATCACACTGTCGGAGGGCGAGTTGCAATGTGGATCATTTTTCTTTCTTGTCAAAACCAAGAATCAGGTTTTGACAAGAAAGAAAAATGCATGGAATTAAAAAAAAAACAATATCTGATTCTGTTACACTGATTTTTATCCTTTGTTACTGAACTCTGTTTACTAAAGTCTGACGGTATTATATGAGAGCAGCTCTAAATTGGTGGAGTCCACTTTTAAAGAACACTAGTGGGCCACAGTACGAGAAAATACTTGGGAGAAAATACTAACAGAAAGAGCGAGCTGTTCCATGCAAAGAGCATTTTTGAGAAAGACAAAATGATTTGTCCTCATTAGTAAGGAGAAAAGAAAACAGGAAGGAAGAAGGACGGTTATGTTAACCTGTAATGCCGCCTTCATTTGGAGGAACAGCAGCACTAAGGCTACCGTCAGCATGAGATAGACAATAACATTTAATCAGAACATCAGCCCAGCAGTATAAATCACAAGTGCAGCCACAAGGTTGTCCTTGTCTCCTGGTATATTACTCATCAATGCTTCTAATTTTGTTCATTGGAGCACCTGAATAACCTAAGTCAAGGAGCCCTATCTTACACCCGGCACGAAGCGGCACAAAGCTAAATTTGTCCCACCACAGTTTCATTAAGAAATGAAAATTTGAGATGGCGCGCTGATTGGTTTATTGCAAGTTACATCCAGAACACTCCCATGATTCATTAAGAGTCTAAGTACAATTCTTTTGAACCATGCGCCTGGCACATCTGCCTTTTTTTTTTTTCAAAATAAGCAAAATTTGCTAAATTAGCAGATGGGACGTACCCTCAGTGGATATGGACACACCCTAAATGCACTTACACCATGTGCATTAAACCATGCACTTTGGAGTGTTAGAATAGAGCCCTAGGTGTTTTGCTCATATTTAAGAAATTATTGATATGTTAAAACACTGGTGTGCTTTGAAAGTGCTACAGTTTGGTCTAAAACTCCTCTCCTTCTCTCTCTTCGTAGCTCATAAAAACTGTCCTTCGTTTTATGGGGTTACAGAGGGAGCGAAAGTGCAGGGGGTTTATGAAGCATATCATTGACAGGCAAGCGAGCTTGGAGAAGGTTGTTCTTTCTTTGTTTGTTTGTTTCCTTTCACAAGACAAGGTGCAGATAAGTTTGAAATATGACCTGCAGACGCTTTTCAACTATTCTATTATTCAGCTTTTTATTGAGGACAATGTAATGAGGAAAACCAAATCAATTGAAAGACAAAATGATTATTATTATTTTTCATGCAAACTCATGCTTATGATTAATAAGATTTTACATTTTGATTATATGGCATAATTTAATGAGCAATCATTACCTAGTTCAAACCTCATGAATGAAAAAGCAGTGCTGAAGACTATCAGACTGGGATTTATCTTACATAGGGATCTATTGCACAATTTTATTGTCTCCCAGATAAAGTCATGTTAAGCCAGAAGATCAAGTATAGTATTCATGGTGTCATCAATAACAGCACCCATGGAATTTTAACCCCCGTCCTGACACATTTCAAAGGAAGGGCAATGTAATTACAGTGGAAGCAGAGGGGGGTGAGGCATAAAGATAAAGTAAACCTTTCCTGTGATGAAGTTAAATACATTGGAATAGAGTGCTGGGACGGCTGCCCTTGGTGACCGATCACACAACTGAGTTTTAATCTAAGACTACATGGCCAACAGAAAGGAAAGGAGGGAGGGTGCATTTGGTGATCGCCTCCCAAGGACGTCTATCCGGCCATAAGGCTCACGCGCTCTCCTCAGGGGTTTGATGGATGACACCAGCACCACAGAGTGATAGGCTATTACTTCACTTTGCATTGGATAAATGGCAATGCAGGCTCCTACCTGTCGCCTGTCCTTCTCTTTCTTTCGTTCTCTCTTTTTTCCCTGCCATCAGAGACCTGAACAGAGGAAAAAAAATAGGACGTCTGAGATTTTGTCTGTGCAATCTGTTGATTTCACTTTCACATTACAGATGAGGTTTTTTTTTTTTGTGTGTGTGTCATTTGTTGTGGAAGTGGATGTGGAGAGTGAGAGTATGGTGGATAATAACGAGCCTGTTTAGGATATGTGATTTGCTACTAGGCTTTTGTCCCCTTCATCATTAGGTGGAAAATGCATTTCTTTTTCTGGAACAATGCTTTTTTTACCTCAGGTGTGATCTAACATTCTCTTTCTGTCTTGCTGGCAGACCAGCAGTATTCATGGTCACCCTCGCAGTACTTCGATGAGGACAGCTACTCCCCTCCACCCAGGAACATGAAGGGTCTCTCTGGCGGCCGCCCTGCCCAGCTCCAGCTCACCTCTCCCACCTCAGCCCACACCTGCGGCCTGGCTGAATGCGACCATTCCCTGGACCACCACCTCCATCATGGCGACTCACGGCCCCCCTCCTACCTTCTCAGCCCCACTGAAAGCTGCCCCCTTGAGGGTCACCACCGCTGTTCCCCACGGAGCTCCATCCACTCTGAGTGCATGGTGATGCCGGTGTCCATGTCGGCCACTGACCACTCCATCTCTAGTAGCACTTTCCCCCGCATGCACTACGGTAGCGCTTCACGGGACAGCGGTGGAAACACTTCTGGTGGCAGGGACTCCAGAGACGACGGTGGCTCATCCTCACACGGTGGCAGCGGCAAAATGAACCGAATCCCAGCAAACCTCCTGGACCAATTTGAAAAGCAGATGCCGCTGCACCGGGATGGCTTCCACACATTGCAGTACCAACGCACCTCCACCACAACCACAACTACAGAGCAGCGCAATGAAAGCCCCGGGCGAATACGCCACTTAGTTCACTCGGTGCAGAAGCTTTTCACAAAGTCGCACTCTCTAGAAGGATCCTCCAAAATGAATGGCACCAAAAGCGACTCACACCGGGACTCGCACCACCACCATCACCACCACCAAGGCCACCACAAACACAGCAAACGCAGCAAGAGCAAAGACCGTAAATCTGAAGGCAGCGGCAAGCAGCGCTCTGGAGGTTGGTGGAGCTCGGACGATAACCTGGATAGTGACAGCACGTACAGAACACCGAGCATCATGTCGCGGCATCCTGTGGACCACATCAGCCACTGCTACCCTGACTCCATGCACGGCCACCTGGCAGGAGACCTATCGCTAAAGACCTCCAAGAGTAACAATGACGTCAAATGCTCAGCTTGCGAGAGCATAAGCATGGCGCCAGAGGGCAAGTTCATGAAGAGGAGCTCCTGGTCAACGCTAACGGTCAGTCAAGCCAAGGAGGCCTACAGGAAGTCATCACTCAACCTGGAGAAGCCCATGACACCCACTGACCTCAAGCCCAACCTCAGGCCCTGTCACTACCTACAGGTGAGTTCATCTTATTTTGCTCTATGTAACTTAGGTTGTGTCTCTCAAGCAGTTCCCATGGGTATGCAAGCTTCCCAGTCAAACACTACAGCGTCTAATTTCACTGATAAACAAAAACTACATGCACATTACTATAAATGCCACTTGATTGGGGAAATTCCCAGACTGGTACACAAATTTAGTTCATTTAAACGCATGGATCTGTGGCTAAATGATGGGTACTTGGAGGATGTGTTGAAAGGAGAAGATGGTGATTTGCAAGGAGCCACATCTGATTTGATAGCGTCAAGCAAATGAAGAGATGATGTAAACATTCGTTTTATCTCTCAGTCTCTACAGTGATAGAGTGTACATTCACCATAATGTAAAATTTATAAGATTTGACACACTGCAGCACAGAGAAAAACATTACTCCCAAAACTTAAGCCTGCATTGTACAACACAAAGCGTTCTTTTTCTATAGGCGTCGTCCAATGCGCAAGGAAGAAAAGCTGCTCACCACAGCTGGATTTCTGATTGATCTAAAAGACAGCTATTTGTTTGTCTCTGCCTTGGATATTACAATGTAAGCATGTCCTGTGGCTCAGCGTGTGGCTGGCAGTAGAGGAGACTCGCACAGCAGGACAAATCAATTAAATCCATAAATGATCTGCACCGGAGTGGAAGAGTCGGCAGTATGAGAATAAAAGACCAGAGATCATTGTTGATTTTTACCTTGTTGTTGGCTTCGATTTTGCATAGGCCTCAGCTCTGAAAAAGGTTAGCATTTAGCTCAGGCCCATGATCGGCTCTGCGGGAGACCCCATAGCACCGTGGGGATCGATTCAAAGTGAGTCAGCAATTTTCACAGATCTTGTCTCACGGGTTTTATATGCATGCTGGAGGGTATATGAAAAAAAGAAAGCCTGCTTGGAAATCCCAAATTGCAAATCCAAGCAGGGAAAAATAGATTTTGGAATAACGCTGCTCAACAATGTGGTATCTGATCATCATGTAAGTACCGCCTGCAGCCAAAATAAAGTGAGCATCGGGAAAGGGAACTCAGTCCTAGAGTAGAGAGTATGTTGTATGGATTAGAGACTGACATAAAGGGAAAGCCAATACATTACTCAAATCAGCCAATGGAGCCAAAGAAAGCATTCCATCTAAACTCACGTCATCCAAAAATATTTTAGAGTACTAATTTTAACTGCCGTGTTTTCAAACATAACTGATGATCAATTTTGGACAATGCATTCATCCACTCAAATATTTTTTACAATCCCACTAAGTGCAGTAATCTCTCAATGAGATAGTTGCTGCGTTTAGTGCCCCCCCCCCCCACTTCCACTTGGTCATTCAGCTGAGGTAGAGTCCGAGTCATTGCACTATAAACACTTCTAAAAATATCCTCCTCTCCCGCTTCCTGCCGCAGGGCTATATTTAGGCCAGCGTTATCAATCCAATCTGCGCAGGGTGACACATCTTCCCTCCCCGGAGGAGAATCAATGCCCTTTCGGAGAGCTGGAAGATGTATGGAAGGAGAGAGGGAGAGAAAGTTGGAGATGCGTATACCACTGAGGTCTGAGGCCTTAACGGATGCGTCGAGATACTCCAGGAGGCAGAGGAGATGGCTATTTTTGCTCACCGTGGTTACTGTTGTTGCTCTTCACCGGGAGCCATCCGGCAGACAGATAGAGCCAATAGTCAAGAATGATACTCACACAGACGGGTCACATTGAGAACTTTTCACTTTCCTGCTGCTGCTGAATTGGGATTACACACAACTGTCTGCACTGTACTGTACTGAATGTGTGTCCATATGTGAGTGAGCCCATGTATATGTGTGTGTGAGTGTGTGTGTGTGTGTGTGTGTGTGTGTGTGTGTGTGTGTGTGTGTGTGGGTGCGGTGCGGTCTGTTTATCGCACGCCAGATGGTTCAGTGATGTGCTAGTCACCTTGTTTGCGTCCTTGGTTGATGACAGAGGGAATGAAAAACTTTTGAAGTGTTGTAAAAGTATGAGATCACCAACACGAAGATATGTCTTACCGAGGTGTCTGTATGTTAATGCGTGTGCTTTCGTCAGGTGTGTGTGTGTGTGTGTATGTGTGTGTGTGTGTGTGTGTGTGTGTGTGTGTGTGTGTGTGTGTGTGAGTGACTGACTCTTGTGTCTCTTGTGTGAGAGATCGATTAACTGGACATTGGGGAAGACAGAGATAGATTAATATTGGCTGCTCTTTCTCTGAAATGACAAATCTTAGGGAATCAGACCTGGCATTAGCCATCATTCTCTGTCTCTGGCTAAGTCATTCCACAAATTAGCCCCGATTAGCCCTCCCCAACACACACACACAGACACACACACGCACACACACACACGCACACATCTTGCCAATCTTTCGTGAGTCTGACTGTGTGCTTGATATTAATGAAAGAAGGTCATTGTGGCAAAACATTCATCTACTATCAGCGACAGGCTCACCTGCATGAATTTCAATGGGCATACGTATGGGTGTGAGGGGCGTGATCTCTCCATCGCCCCTTTCTCTCACACACTCTCTCCTAAATTATATATGTAAATACACCTGGACTGTCACAACAGCTGTAATCCATCCCTCCCCCACCTTCCTCTCACCCAGCCCGCAACTTCACAGCACAATAACTTTGTGTTACTGACAGCTCTCAGCCGTGATTAAGTCAGCTGCTCCAGCAAACGCTACTCTGGTTCTCTCCCAGCATACAGTACTATAGTACAAAGGGAGGATTAGTCTTTGATAGTTTTGCTGATGGGGCATTGCGGAGGGATTTAATAAGCCAATTAATTGCCATGTTGGCTTGCCAAAGGTGGAGCTTGAGAGGGAGAAAGGCTGATGATTAAAATACAAAAGGGAAGTGCAAAGCAGCAGAAACAAAACTGGCACTGTGACGGAAAGCTGCAGCAACACACACCTCCACACACACAGACACACACACACACACACACACACACACACACACACACATACACACACACACAGGGGTTCCCTAAACTTTTTCATTAAGGCGTTCCCAGATTGCTATCAGGCCATGAACCACTACTTAGTAAGATTTTGTCCCAGGAACTCCGGGATCAGACAGCAGTTTGTAGATAAATGTTACTCGTCTCTGCTGCCTGAGGCGACAGGGTGGCTTTGTGGCTACCACCGTGGCGGCAAGCATCTGCTCATATTCATATTTTATTATCTCAACCCTCAAGTTTTCTTGGAGTCCACAAGGAGATTGTCAGGCTATAACCATTTAATAGTCAATTGTTGAGCACATTCTCCTATATCCTTTTTGTCTGTGCTGCCACTTTCCCAAGCCAAATCAATAATTATGGCCAACTATCACAATTCTTGGGGGGTTTAAGACCCATATTTGCTGCTTTAGTAGCATTTTCTTGCCCAGAATTCCTCACTGTATTAGAGCCTTAAAATAATAGTTCTTGCCATTTGGTGCAAACAAAGTCCAGGACATAGGTTTGACCTTGTAGGGTCTCATGAGTTGACTTTGAAGAATGCAGAGGTTTTAAATAGAGCAACCCTTGACCATTATTGTATTGTATTTCTTCTCTTACATGTATTACTGTATATCTGCTTGTAGTTTACTCCCATAGGCAGCCAATTCCCACTAAACCCAATGTACAGTATCTTTCTAGCAGCAGACTGCAGACACACAAAGCTGCAGCAGCTGGTGTCAAAAATCTAGCGAGCTGAGGAGCCAGAGATTTTTTTGTTGGTGGAGTTGGTGGGGACAAGAACAGAGCTAAATGGGGAAATGAATGTTGGGATACCGTTGGTGGCTAAAAACACAAAATGAATGTAAGTCTTCTGTGTCTGCTGGCTGTAAAAGTAGGCGCCTCTTTGCTAGCACATTAGCCACCAGCAGCTGGAGAAATGCAGATGAGGATTCACAGCCTCTTGTTTAATGGCAATTAACCGTTATTGTAATAAGGAGGGAGTTCACACAAGAGGTCTACTTCAAATAAATATGGTTTATTAAGTTACCAGATAATTAGGGTGCGCAAGTAAGAAACATCAGCGAGGAAAGAACATCATGAATGTGTGAGGTGTGTGTTGCGCAGGTGTTAAAGGTGCAAAAGAAGACGATGCGAGCTAGATGTCAGCTGAAGGAAGAGAGGCAGGGTGAAGCTTTTATGATGATGAGCTGACAAACCTCCACTGTCAGCCCGTTGCCTGCTGAGCTTGACAAGGATAGCCCTCGAGAGAGAGTGGGAGGAGATTTGTTATGAACATTATGCTGACAGTGTTCAACTTTGACCAGTAAGTTACCACCTGCAGCAGCAAACTGACGAGCGTCTTCCCTGTTATTTGGAATGCAAAAAGAAATATCAGGAGTTACTATAGTAATATTTTACAATATCATAATTTGATACAGTATTATGCTTGGAAATTGGCCTGAGCATCCTTTTCCTCAGCATCCCCCCCCCCCCCCACCCCCCAACTGCTGCATGTGCTGCCAGGCCTGCTGGAAGGTCTGTTCCCTCCAATGGGTCTGGCCTGGGGTCTCCCTCCAGACAGCTGTGGCTGGAACGCATCCAACCCGAGGGAACCAGAAGGCGTCTGTACCGCTGTCGGTGTTCGATCGGATGAAACAGAATACAGAGACCGTCCAAAAATTCCTGAGTTTCTCTCTCTCCTAACACTGAGACCCGTCACCCTGTGGAGAAATCTTGGCCACTTAAGCATATGCTAAACCTCTGTTTTGGTCACTACTGAAACTTCACTATATTTGCCAGTAAAGTGAGGGCTCTACTTTAAAACTCCCTGGAACCACTAAGCCATTTCACCGGAGACACATGAATGCATTTCTGACGAGTGTCTCCCTGCCTTTCTGTCTTTGTCTGTGTCTCTCTGGCTGTGTTAATGGGTGACTACAATTTAATCTGTCTCCAGCCAATAAACCTGGCTGGGAACAGATGCACAGGTGTTTCCATCTGGCTCAAAGCTGACAACAAAAGGGGAGGCCACACACAGAGTTA